TAAGTAGTACCATAGCAAAATAAAACACTCATCGTTAAATTCTGTACGCATACTCCTCATAAGTATTCAAGCTGCTCATCATGTGCACTAAAATGTTTGCTGCTCATCGACCATCAGCAAAGTTTTGTGAATCGATTCAGCAGCACTCCGTCCAAGCACATATCATCATCACCTCCTTTTCTGCCACTCACTTCTATAATAGATTACGGTAATAAGCAAACTGATGACGAGTGTATATTATTGAGTAATGAGTACGATGAGGTATGTAAAACTCGAGCATTTGATTTGTCCATAATATGAACTTATATATGCGTACCTACAAATAATGCACATGCATCTATCTCTAGTCGAGCATGTAACAGTTATGATGAATGTAACAGTTGTATCCAATAGATGTTACTACGATTGCTTTCGTTGCTCACTGAGCATGTCGTGTCCCTCTTCGTGTCCTAATCACTATATGGGTATATTTATCGAGATGGAGCACGTACTAAATTAGATTAGCATTCATCAAGCCTTACTTGCTTAGCCCCAAGCAACTAAACTATCGACCGAATCATCTTATGCAGATAGATCTGTGTAGGCATATATGTTCACCTTATAAAGAATACATAGTGATGACAACAGCAACAAGAACGAAATTCAGCAACAGCATAATATGCTTTTGGGATGTTAGCCAGCTTTTATTGATGAACACCGTGAAAATCTCAAGTCATACATTTCTTTTGATCTATGCAAGTCGTTCAGCTTCACCTTATTACAGGTATGGTTCCAAAATCGTCGTGCGAAGCACCGCAAGCAAGAAAAACAACTCTCCAAGGCACTCGTCCCTCAATCAATGTTCCCAACGCAAAGTGCTGGCCATATAATGCGTGGTGGACCAATGTATCCCTCGACTGCAATGTCCGCACGAGCTGCCACTGATTCTTTTTGGTTCGTATTCGTAAACTTGTGCTCATTTTGACGAGCACGTTCTTAAGTATAGCGTTAAGTGCAGTTCATATGTATAGCTGCAACACAACTCGAATTAATGATTTCGTTTATGATTATCAGTGCGCTGAGAAATGAGAGCAAAATTCATCAGCCACAATTTCGACAAGTAGCAACTTTCTTTCTTATTTCTGAGTGAATTCCGGAGAAGTTTCATTCGAACGTCAGTGTTAATTGCGTTCTGTATTGCACCAAAGTTGACAACATCGATAACTTCCTCCGAGACCTTTGTGGTGCTCATTACTGCAGTCGATTATGATTGCATGAAAAGCTATTGTCTGTGACACGCTCACTTCATACTGATTCACATGGATTCTCATTC